TGCAGCTCCTCAGGGGCGATCATGTCGAGGCGCAGCAGAGAGTCCACCAGCTGCGAGCGAGCGTTGCCGATGAACGAGTGCGACAAGAAAGGCGCGAGGCCCCCCCCCGTTTTTCGTGTTGTAGAGAGGGACCCTGACCATTCCCAGAACCTGGACAGAGACAGAGTTGGTGAGGAACAGATCATGAGGTAAATGGCTCAGTCCTACTGGAAGAAAAAGGACACATACCTCCTGTCCATGATCTGTTGCAGTGGATGCAGCCTCTTTCTCTACCTCCTTTATCTGCTCCTCCTCCATCTTCTTCACATAGAAGTGGATTATAAGACGGGAGGTGGAGGAGGGGGAGGAAGCAGGGGCATGGCAGCAGTCCACATGATCTTCTGCCGATATAGGAAGAGCAACGCCCAGCTCTTCCAACAACTCCCTGCTAAGCCCCGCCTCCAGGGTCTCCTCTGAAGGGTTAACATACCTGAGGTGTGGGACATGGGGTCAAGGGTCAGGATGAGATTAGAAAGTCAATAAACAATGTCAGCTGTATTGCTCTCCAGAGACTCCTCGGGGCAGGAGTAAATAAATCAAGCTGATTGAAAAGATAATTTAATTTTAAAACCCCAAACACAAGTGCTTCTTTAAAGGGGACCTATCATGCAAAATGCACTTTTGTACGTCTTTTATACATGAATATGTGTCCCCGGTGTTCCAGGGAACTCACCAAGTGTCAGAAAACACAACCCTCTCTATTTTCCTCCATACCCAAATCTCTAAAAAAAGGGGCTGCAACGGATCTGATAAAAACTGATACAGATTTGAACACTGTCCTGACGTCAGGACAGTGGCGCTACGGCTATTGGGCCAACTCCACCAATCAGGAGGAGACGGCCATTGCCGTTCGAAAGTGCTGGAGACGCTGTAGTACATATGCCAGGCCAGTAGATGGTGCTGTTCTCACAGAATCTGCCCTTGCAAAAACAGAGCTAGAAATTGTCAAATTGAGCAAAATAAGGCATGGCTAAAATGCATGATCTGTTTGGTATTTTGAAAAAAAAAAAGTATAAATATGCCTTATATAGGTATGGTCCTACACTATATTATTCAAATATAGCATGATAGGTCCACTTTAAGTCACAAGAAAGTCTAATTAAAGGGGCCCTAACATGTTCATTTCCAGGTTCATATCAGTATGTTGTGTCTCTTCTGTGACATGTCTCCATACTTTGATGTTCAAAAAGCTCTTTATTTTTCTCATACAGTGCTGCAGCACCTCTTTTCACCCTCTGTCTGAAACCAGAGCCCAGTCTGCCCTGATTGGTTATCTGGCTGGCTCTGTTGTGATTGGTCAACGGTTACTATCAAGACGCTACCACGTTCAAGCAAAAAACGTATTCATGTTAAACACCATTCTAGTTTTGCATGTTTGCATGCTAATATTCATGCTTATTACCACTAAACCCCCACAGCTGACACTGTTTGAGGTAAACGATTAACAATGTAGATTTGTTAAACACAGTATAATAATACAATTAAAAAGTAAGACACTGTGTATGTATTGTGTAAGAATGGGACGGTGCTGCTTCTGACCATTCTTCCTTTATTTTGCATATTTCTTCATAATTATTCAGACATTTCTCCACGTCTTGTTACATAATTTCACTGTGTTGGCGAATCGTGCCTGAGAAATGTTGGCAGTGACTACTGTAAAATCACAGACACAAAGGCACAAGTGATTCATATAAAGTTGAAGATGAATTAAGCAGAACCTGTCTGGCAGTTGCAGTTGTTTTTGTTCTTTATACGGCAAGATCAAGCACCTTGCAGAAGATAGTGTCATGCATATTTTCTCATCTTTTTTCATTGGAGTATTCCAGACACAGTGAGTGCATGTTTGTTCAAGTTTACATCTTTTGACGGGGCTCATCTGTGAAGCAAACAAGAGATCTACAAAGCTAAGCTAAACATACCTGTGTGTGCACATAAAAGGATGAAACAAAAGCAGCACCAGGAAAGACTCACCCTCCGGGGAAACCCAGCAGACCGTCAAAGCGCATCTGCATCTGCGGTGGGAAGTGACAGAGGCTGTTATACACTCACACACTGATGCATACACAAAGAGAGGCAGAGGTGCTTTGTCAAAAAACACCCTGGTTTGGAGAAACACGCAGGAGTACAAGCAGGGAGCTAAGCGATGTACTGCTGTAAAGGGGGGCAGCAGTAAAACATTTCTCAGCCACCTAAAAAATGTCATTATCGGATTGTGTATGTTATATGAATACTATTTATTTTATTGGTCCACCTTGCACCAGACTCTATTAACACAAACTGTTATTTAATGTTGCAGAACAAAGGAGTTGCTAGTCTAATGCTACATTAATCTTTTCTGAATATTTGGTTTTTACCCCATGTCAATTCTTGTATAAACTGACCCCCCCTGACAAAGTGACATATTTTATGGATATTTCATGTTTTTTCTATTGGAGGTTTTTCTTTTCCCTAACAATTAACTTTTTTTTGTGCCATTTTGGTTGTCTTAGCTGCGTACTTTCTAAAGCAAGACAAGTCTGTTTACCAGAGGTAAGGCTTCTAGGTCTATACCCAGTGCTTGAATTGGGCCGGTACTCACCGGTACGCAGTACCGGGACTTCTGATTTTTACCCATCTGCGTACCGTTACTTCTTACTACACCTCATGACGCATCTAGGTATGCATATTTGTTGTATGATTCCCCTGTGTCCTCCCTGGCAGCTCCATTGATTCCCTCTCTCCTTTCCTGTTGAAAGATGCATGAGTGTACTCAGGGACGAGGAGTCATTTAACCCGCCGCCAGTAGGAGTCAGGCTTTAGCCATATCCGCTGCCTTTCATAATTGTTTTAAGTATAGTGAGCCTTTCTAAAATATACAGTAAAGAGACCAACCCACCAGCATTAGAGGATATACTATATATGACCTGATGCAGGCACATGTATAGGCTACGTCATGTTCTCTATGAGAGCCCCGGACACCTCCCTGATTAGTCGTGGAAAAACATGCAATTTCTGAACGTTACAGTAAATATTCTGTTTAAAAAAAAAAAACTTTTCCTTGTCTGTTAAAGTTTTTTTGTGTTTCTTTTTAATTACTGAATCAAAGATATGAGGATAAGGATGGAGGGAGTCGTATGTTTTACAGATTGTAAAGACCTTTGAGCCAAATTCTTGTTTTTGGGCTGTATAAATAAAATTGACTTGAAACAGTTGCTGATTAGAGTACTGGTACCTTTTTTATTCCAATTCAAGCACTGTCTATACCGTGCCTTAGTCTTTAATAATGATCTAAACTTTCAATATAAAAATGTTGGTTTCTTTACAGATATTAATGAATGACTGAGAAAAATGCAAACTGTATTTATTTTGTATAAGTTTTCTCACACCCCTTACATTTAAAAAGGCCTTGCGACCCCACCATGAAGCCCCTTGTGGGGATTGGGATCTCCAGGTTTGGAACCAGTGTTTTAAGTTAATATAAAAATCACCAAAGTCACACAATAACACAGACAAATGAACCGATTGAGGCAGGGTGAGACCAGCGACTCCAGTGTTCCTGCAAATCAAAATGACTCTATTTGTAAATGGAAAAAATAAAACATAGAGAACACTGACTATGGATAAGTGTGTCAAATAAGCCTAGATCCAACACTTCAAACTATCCCTTTAAACACCTGCACACACACACACACACACACACACACACACACACACACACACACACACACACACACAGGGCTTTTCCTCACCAGTATGATATGTCTGATTGGAATTCTCCCAAACAGCTGGGTTTTCGTGTCACAGTAGAGCATCACGTGACACGCATGCCTGCAGCCTGAGCACGCCAACGCCCCAGCCCTGGACAGCTGTCCACTCGCCATCTACAAGTTCACACAGAAACACAGAGCAGAATTACAGTCACAGTTCACTGCTCAATGATCATTATGCATGGCTGCCCCCTGTAATGTGCTGCCAATGTGACATCATCCAAGTACCCCCTCCCCCCCTCCATCGTTTGCTAACCTGACTGAAACTGGTTAGCTTAAAGGGCTGTAGGTTTATATGCAGAAAAGCTTGTGCCTTATGGAATGCTATCAATGCTATGCAGCAGAACCAGGAAGCTAACAGGAAGATCTTTGTGACTTTTATTAAAACAGCTTTGGCTCCCTCTGCTGGTGTGGAGGTGGGGGGAATCCCCGTCCCGAACTGAACTTTCATTAGCAGAGGCAGAGCCCAATATTTCCATATGTATTTCTTATTCTAATGTTGAATATTGTATTAACTGTAAGTTTCAAATGTTGTTTTTAGTCAGTGTGTATCTTATTCTTCGTCTCATAGACTTAAAAACAATTCTATATTTTCACAGAATGGCAATCACAATAATGCTTATTTTTCTAAAGCAATCAGGTAATCCAAAATACATTTTATACTTTCTACAGATTTCCTTTTTTTCTCAATTTTTTAGCACTCAAAATATGTACTGTTGAATGAATGCCATTTCTAATGTCGTGATATTTATCCAACGGATATTATCAAATATCGAGTAATTGTAATAAATATGAAATACAGTAGCAAGTGGATATTCCATCTCTTCAAGATATTTCATTATAAACAAGGCTAGAGATGCATGCTCTTTCTGTGATTTTGGTGAAACTTTTTTAGCATTTAGTTAACTCATATATGTTTTGTTTTTATGATGTCTGCAGTGCAGTTCAGAAAAAAACGGTCTGATATTTTGAACATTTTATGAGCCACACATGTTAGCTGTCAAATAAATGCTTCTTACCCAGGTAACATTACATTACATGTTACTTGTTACATACTTCCACAACAAAGTGCTGTCTCATTCTTCAATCAGCATTTTTTAGCCCAATAGCAGTTCTAGATTATACAATTTTTGGTGACGTAATGAGCGCTGATTGGCTGAACAAAGTATTGTAAATTGACACGTCAGTATGTTTAACCAATAGCAGGCCCCCGCCTCTCCGTGGCTAGTGAATGTTTGGAGTGAAGCAGATCCGGACTGTAAAACAATACAGAAACTCGATTTTACACTTTATGAAGGATAGTGCTCCTCTATAAGAAATATAACCTGGTTTACACACAGCTATACGTTGTGCTGTGAGACCTGTCGAGAAGGACACGGAACACCGACTGGAGAAACCTGCTAGCTTGAAGGTAGATATCAACTAGCTACTAACGAAGGTTACAACCCATACAACCAATATTTTCAAAGTAAACTTGCATGCTGTTTGGATAAAACTCAGGGTGTGTTAGTTTACAGACAGTTGGTTTTGGTAGTAGGTATATTCACGGACCTATAACACAAGTACTACCCAGGAAGCAACTTAATGACATGTGTTATTGGGCTAACTGTCTGGAATATTTTTCGCCATAAAAGTGCTATAGAACCACGCAGCAACAACAATAAGTATTGTTATCTTTTTGGTAATAGTTTGTAGTAGGCTACTTGGAGTACATTAACTTAGCCTTGTTGTAGTTTTGTACCTTAGCAGGTATGTTCAAAACGACTGTGCAGGTTATTTACTGACAGATTATGATATCATCTTCGAAATAGAAAGTTAACCTAGCAATCAAAATACAAAATTGTTACCTGCTAGGATTTTCAAATTGACTGTAAAGTGTAGAAATTCGCCTAGCACAAACAACACACCTCCTATAATCTTCTTTTTTTTCTCCACGACAGGTGAATCAAAATGGCCAACGCAATACCAGAGAAGATAAGGATGAATACTACACTATTAGAAAACTTGGCGGAAGTGGCAAAAGATGCAGCCCTGCTGAAAGGTGTTCTAATGAGGATCCAAGAGACCCCCAACTCATCAGAGGTAGGACATGAACACTTTTTAAGTTCACCTGCATGAATACTATGATAATGTTGTAAAGTGAAGACTGGCTTTGACATCTGACAATTTATAGTCAGGCTTTGCATAAGTCAAATCCCTTTTTCATCAGCTGGCTCTATTATAATGCTACATTCATCCCATCCCAGTTGTTACTGCTTGTACAGCATGGTGTAGAGTGCATTTGCAAAACGTTTTCATATAGTAAGAGTAAGACAATGGAAACACCTGTGTCAGGGTTATACAATTATGTAATAATAAAATACATTTTTGTAACACTTACCTAGGGCTGCTCGATTATGGCAAAAATCATAATCTCGATTATTTGGGACAATAATTGATATCACGATTATTAAAAACGATTATCCATTTACTTTGAAAACATCCATTTATTGAAAAAAAATGTGAACAGTATGTTTTTAACAGTTGATTACCCTGAATTTAAAGTATAATTCAACTGAAAAACCAATTTAAAAAAAAAAAAAAAAAGGTTTTATTTAGATTATGTTGTTTTCATAAACGTTGCAAGCCAAAATCGTAATTGCGATTAAAATACGATTAATTGAGCAGCCCTACACTTACCTATTATTACTGTTACATATTGTAACAGGTGGCTTGTAGCCTCCAATTTATTTGCCATAACTTAAAGGCTGCAGGACTACAAGGTTCAATACACAGAGAGAAATATCGTATTCATTAAGAGCTATGTAATAAAGTCACTATTCAAGTAGTATATCCCATGCACAAAGAAAATACCAATAAAAACACTTGAACTAACTACCAAACAGTTAATCTGCCAATGAAATGTAGCTGCAGCAATTCTTCTGATATCAGTAAATACGTAGAAACGTACAACCCCAATAGTGCTCCTTCTCTTTTTTTTCACTCAAGCATCTAAATATATATCAGTTTCTAATGTGACAAAAAAGAATGGAGATGTATTTCTGTGAAGTGAGCCACAGCTAGTAAGAGGACATGATTCCATTCATTACATTAGATGATTACATGGTATTAAGCTAATGCTTTTATCCAAAGCCAGTTGCCTACACTCAATGCCATAGACCTGCCTAAATGAGCATTTTAGGGTTGGCTTTCTTGCCCAAGGACCCTTTGACATGTTGACTGCAGAGGGTGAGATCAAGCCGCTGAACCCCTGATTTGCAGGAAAGAGCACTAACCCCCTGAGCTACATTCCAGAGTGCTGTTAAGCCACTAGTGTCAAAACAGGCGTAGTCAATGGGAAGTCATGTTAGGAATGTATTCCTCTTTAGAGCACAGGATTTGGGACAGATCTTCATTAAGCCTGTGTTTGCAATTACAGGGATTCAACCGATGCTTGTGTTGTGATGAGCATTCTTTTTTACACTTTGTTTCCAGTTGGTGACGTACGCTCCATTCACACTTTTCCCCACACCTGTACCTGAGGCGGTGTTCTCCCAGGCGCTGGCTGTGCAGACTCACTTCAACACACTGGTGGACAAAATCAGCCAGGATGCTGAATTCCTGCAGGACGCTCTAGCAAGGTAGCATAATATCACAATATAGTAGCATCCTCTGATTGTTGTTATATTAATTTTATTTCAGGATTTTAACATCATGGTGACTTCCTCTGTTTATAGCACCATTGAGGTGGATGATTTCACTGCGAGGTTGTTCAAGATCCACCAACAAATAGTAAAAGAAGGAACGTCTCAGGTATGTCAGTCATTTTGTAGACTGTCCTTTATCCATCTTGTTGGATTCAAGAGTATCTGTTGTTTTGGGGTGCATGCCTCGTTGTCTTGCCACAGCAAACAAGTCATTCGTTTTTTTTTAATGAAACAAAATGGAGGATATTTAGAATGCATACATTTGATGGCATGATTATTAGGTTATAAAGTAAACCAGTTAGTGTTATCATCTCGCAGCATCAAGAATGCATAGAAACTCAAATATAATTAATTGCCAGACAAATAACATTTAGGATTTGTTCATTTTAATACAAGAGCAACATATATATTTTCAGCCATTACAAAGGGCTTCCAGTTGAACTAAGCCCTTAAGGCAGGGGTGTCAAACTCAATTTGATCACGGGCCACATTAGCATTATGGTTGCACTCAAAGGGCCGGTTGTAACTTTAAGACTATATAAAAATACATATATAAATATTTAATATATATAAAATAATGTATTGTATGACATTATTGCCTCTGCATTGGATTATTATCGGATAGGGTAATAACTTCATAATTAACTACGTCTGAAAGCAGAAGTCTAGGGCAAATAATTGCAAGTCTCTTCAGTGAGAATGTCACAAAATGATTTAAAAAGAAAAGCCAAATTCTGGAAAAAAAGTTCAAAAAAAAAAAGTGACATTTTGGGAAAAAGTGACATTTTGAAAAAGAGGTCAAATTCTGAGAGAAAAGCTAATTCTAAGATAAAAGGCATATTTTGAAGAAAAAAAAGTCAAATTCTGAGAAAAAGGCATATTTGAGATGCATGGTGGGACATGTAGTTTATGGGCAACGCTTCTGTAAATCGGCATGTAACCGTATAATAAACATATTATATTCTTTCAGAGCTGTTGTGGGCCACATAAAATGAAGTCACGGGCCGGTTTTGGCCCCCGGGCCTTGAGTTTGAGACCCCTGCCTTAAGGTCACACTTTCTGCAATTTAACAAAACCTATGGTATTTAAGGCGCCGTTTACACGAGGAGAAAACTGCTTGTATCTGCATAGTTTCGCGTGCGTATAGCCCTATTATTTACACGAGGCCGATAGAAACTGACCCCACAAACAATAACGGGTCCCAAGGTGGATAGATTTGCAAACGAAACGCTCTGGGGGGTCAACCGGGTCCGTGTAATCACCTCGATACGAATATTTCCTGAAAAAATAGCGATAGCCCCACCTCTCCCCACCTCTCCTGCTCACTGCTGAAGCAACTATCAAAAATAGCTGTGTTAATTAAACGCACAAGGGGTTCTTGAATGAAATAATATTATAAAAGGCAAACCAGAATTGTTAACGCCCAATATACTCCTTAAACAAAATAAACAGAGTCAGATTTCATGCATTGATCCATTATATTGACAAAGGTGCGATCTCACCCGGTGTTTGTAGAGAATATCTCTCTCTTTCTGAGCCGTCCTCTCCACGGACGTGCTTCAGTTTCTTTCAGTTTCAGTTTCAGTTTCGGGGCTTAAACAGAAGGGTAGCCATGGCAACATTGCAGCGGGGCTGCTTGGGTTGCTCTTCTTCGCGGCTTTTGGTGTATTTTGGCGGAAGTTACAGCGCCACTTACAGTCCCAGCATATGTACTACAGCGTTTCCAGCGGCCTCGTTTGAACAGACACGTTAAATGAAACAAATGCATGTGAACGGAAGACGTTTTTGAATACGCATACTGTGCATAAACGCAAACGGTCCCGTGTGAGCGGGGCCTAAGACTCTGCATGTTTGCAGTGCAGCAATCATCAACATAGTCAAACAAAAACTCAACGGGTCTGCATAAACGTCCCAACTTTAGACTTCCAATACAGGAAAGAGGCTGATCATTCAGAAGTTCTCTACATCTAAATGTAATGACCCTGTTGGATTGACATTGTATAGAGAGATGTGTCCATCCAAATGAAGTTATAAACTAGTTTATTAGTAGTTTTAATGTTGCCACTATTTCTCAAGCCTGTTAGTCTTTCAGTTGGCTTGACCACACTGGCCTGCCAATTAAAAGAACATCTGAGGCCTGTACTACGAAGCCGGATTTTCCTAACCTGGATATGTTTGAGTTAGCCGGTTGGCCCAATCCAAAACATACACGCTCTGGCTAAACTGTACTACGACGCTGGTTATCAAGTGGATCGCTCAAGCCAGCCGTGTCCCATCTAGTTAGGTTCGCGTTCACATGAAAGGGGTGGTATTTGGAGCATTCGACCAATCTCAAACACGGACAAGCGTACTGACAGCGCAGCGTCATACTTCCTGAATGAAAAGTGAACTTTAATATTAGTCAAATATGAAGAAGTTAAAGTTTAAACATCCATGACTTAAACACTTTATCCAGGATAAAAGCCTCATAGCTGCACCTGCAAGGTGAATACAGCTGGTAAAAGAAAAAGTGTTTGAATGCGTACATTAACAGGTTTATGATATCACTGCCCCGTCCAAGACACGAGTGGATCTGACTTTAATTACATTTGACTCTAGTGTTTCGTCAACTTAATGTGTTGCTTAAAATAATACTTCTGCATACAGTATGTGACACTGTGAGTGTTGCACGGCCAGATACGGCTCAAGAAGCTGACTCGGATAAGGAAATATATGATACAATATGATGTGATATGAATGATAATGGGACACATCGACGTCTGCACTCAGTGCCGCGGACTGTACTTAATGTTACTCTGATCCGGTTACTTATGTCGTGGCAGATATTTAAGTAAGCTTTCTTAACGCTAATGTTATATTAGTCAGATTGCTCTGAAGATGGGAGGGGATATTCTATTAATTTTCACGTTCACACAGTCAGTTGATTTTTGCCGGCCGTCTTTCCTGCAACGGCAGTTTTTCTGTATTTCCTCTATCCTGTAATATGACTTGATAGCTTTAAACTCCGCACACGGAGCTCTGATTGGTCAGCAGGCGGTGCTTTCACTGAGTTGATCTCTTAGCCTGCAACCTAACCTCCTCCCGAGGAGGTTAGCCGCTCAGCATAAGTTACCATGGAGATCTAGCCCGCTAAAAAGAGAACCAGCGTCGTAGGACCGGAAAGCCCGAGTTTTCCCTGAAGTCAGCCGGCTAAGCGAAAATCCGGCTTCGTAGTACAGGCCTCAGGGCTGCTACTAACAATAACATGTTTATAGATTGAACTGCAGATTGATTCCTTAGTTAAAGGTGGGGTAGGTAATTCACTTCAGATACACTTTTTGTTATATTCCATGGAATGCTCTTAACATCCCGATAGCAATGAATATCTTAAGTGCTTTGACAATAAATACATAAAAAAATGTCATCTGTGGAAGCCGTGGCGCTGTAAAAAGTATGACCAATCATTTTAGCCGGCCCGGCTAAAATAACTGGATGGCCTACCTGCCTGTCAGCCTTCCATCTGTGCACAAACTTATCTCGTGCCCTCATTGGTCATGTGCGCGTTCGTGTGTTGGAGGAGGGGCTCTGTAAGGAAGTCTGAAGGAAGAGGCAGATTTTTTCCGGTTGTGTACTTTCAAATTCTAGCGCACTCGAGCTGGTTTCTCCATTCTTACCTACCCTACCTTTAACATAATAATGCATACTTGGTTTTTAAAATATCAGAAAATAGATCAAAATGGCCTTCAGATTTATATTGAAATAGCTAATTTGGACTAATAAACTGTCAAAATCGTCAATATATAAATGAACTATCCCATAAGACAAAGAACAACTGTTATTGATTCAAACTGAGAAGCTGAAAATATGGTTAATGATGGGAAGTGTTGAATCTATTATGATAATGGTTGGGAATAGCTCCAGTTTTGAGCCTTGACACAGTACGATCAGTCTGTGTGACCTTTGGGAATGTGAGTAGTCTGACTGACTTCTCTCCAGTCTGTGTGACCTTTGGGAATGTGAGTAGTCTGACTGACTTCTCTAACTTCTCTCCAGTCTGTGTGACCTTTGGGAATGTGAGTAGTCTGACTGACTTCTCTAACTTCTCTCCAGTCTGTGGTGTGTGGTCTCAATCGCTCCGACTACATGCTGGACCAGGCGGAGGACGGCTCCTCGTCTCTGAAGCAGATCGAGATCAACACCATCGCCGCCAGCTTTGGAGGGCTCTCATCCCGCACGCCAGATGTTCACCGGTGAGTCATCAGCATTTCATATATAGACTGTTCTTCCATTGATTTAGGGAGAACATCTATATCAAAAAAACATCAGTTAAAACTCTTTTATTTTATTTTTCCAGAATGACTTTCTTTATTCAGAAGATGTTTATTTAATATTTCCAAATGTATTTCTTCAGGAAACTTTAAAAAATGTATTAATTCATTTAACTATAATAAGTGATTTAAAAAAAAAAGTATCGCCTCATTTATTTACATCTTAGACATATCTATTTAATTTATCACCCTATTTATTATTAAGGCATATTTATTTAGTAATCTATTAATTAATTCATTTATTTATTTATTTGGTATTGACTTGAATAACTTTCCATATTAAGGCAACAACTTTTACTGTTTTTCTTTATTTAATATTTGCTTTTGTTAAAATTGTAAAAGTATTGTTCACCTTTTTCCCCAGACACATCCTTCAGGTGGCCGGGCAGCTGGAGCAGAGTGAGCGGATCCTGGACAACAACCCTGCAGCAGGCCTGGCCCGGGCCGTGGCTAAAGCCTGGGAGCTCTATGGATCAGAGAAGTAGGAATGAAAGTAAATAGAGGTAGATTTGTCTCAAGTTTATTTGTGCATTGGGATTTTTACTCACCTGAAAGAATACATTAAAAGAAGCCTAAAGATTGACTGTGCTGTACCTAAGGCTAGGTACAGCACACAATGTATACGTATATGTACGTGTGTGCTAGATACTGTACAAAACATGCAACCATTAACACACACTAATATTGTCCCATTTATATAATAAAATAAAGAATGCATGTTACTAGCCACAGTATGCTCTTACTTTGAAATGTGGACACCAGGACATGAGCAGATGTTAGAAAGATATTCACAAACACTTTTAATCTACTTGGAAATCAATACAAAATCTTTTTTTTTTGTCTTCAACCTTTTTGTTTGTATTTGTGGAAAGTTTACATTTACCAACGGATTATCGATCTATTCACACAAATAATATTGAGACCAATCTACCTCCATAACGGTACATCCTGAATGTATTTCCTTCATACTAACTTAAGATGTGATGAGTGAATTCATTCAGAATACAGCATTGCAGTAAGAGTGATTGACAGGAGCAATGGCTGTCATTACAGAGCCGTCGTCATGTTCTTGGTGGAAGAGGTCCAGAGGAACATCTTTGATCACCGATATGTTGAGAAAGAGCTGTGGAACAGGTGAGTTGAGAGGAGCTGCTTTTATGAAGTAATGTTGTTTCAATGGAACATGCTGGAACATGTTGTTTCACATTTAGTTTCAATAGTCTTGTCCCGCCCCAATTGCATTTGAATGGTATGGAAGGAAGGGGTTTGTTTTTTGGTAACCAGCCCACTATTGTCCCTGTGTTTCAGAAACATTCCCACAATGAGAAGGCGGTTCGATGATGTTTCTAAAACAGGATCCATCGATCAGGACAAGAGGCTATTTGTGTAAGTTAAATGTCAATAAATAAATGTTATAACAACGATATGGCTACATAGGTAATAATTCTATAACTATGATCACGTTTACTCAAAGGGACCCTATTCTGCTTTTAGGGTTTTCCCTTTCCTGTAGTGTGTCCTATAGGTTTGTGTGCAAATGGTCTGCAAAGGCTCAAATCCCTGTGTTTCTCTTAGGGCTGCTCAATGAATCGTATTTTAATCGCAATTACGATTTTGGTTTGCAACGATTATGAAAACAACATAATCGAAATAAAACGATTATATATATATATATATATATATATATTTATTTTTTAAATTATTTATAAAAAAGAGAAGTTTTTTTTCTTTTGGTTTTTCAGTTGAATTCTACTTAAAGTTCAGGGTAATCAACTGTTAAAAACATACTGTTCACTTTTTTTTTTTTCAATAAATGGATGTTTTCAAAGTAAATGATCATCGTTTTTAATAATCGTGATATCAATTATTGACCCTAATAATAATAAATTTAATTTTTATAGCGCTTTTCTAAACCCAAAGACGCTTTACATTTGGGGAAGGGTAGACAGACAAGGACAGGCAATAAAACAACAACAAAACAAAAAATAAACAAAAAAACAGAAAGCAGTCAGGAGGAAGTGGGGGGTGGGGGGGGGCTTATGGGTATACAGATTTGAAGAGATGGGTTTTGAGGCGGGACTGGAACAGGGTGAGGGACTCGGACTCACGGAGGTCTTGGGGGAGGGAGTTCCAGAGCTTCGGGGCTGCCACAGAGAATGCTCTGTCCCCAAAGCTCTGGAGTTTGGCCTTGGGGATGGAAAGCAAACCGGCTGAGGTGGATCTGAGGGACCGGGGTGGTTGGTAGAGGATGAGGAGGTCAGTGAGGTAGGGGGGGGCCAGGTGGTGGAGGGCTTTGTAGGTGAGTACCAGGAGTTTGTGTTGGATGCGGTGTGAAACGGGGAGCCAGTGAAGTTCTTTGAGGACCGGGGTGATATGATGCCATGATTTGGTGTGGGTGAGGAGTCTGATAATAAATAATCGAGATTATGATTTTTGCCATAATCGAGCAGCCCTAGTTTCTCTCCAGAGGGAGTTTCTGCAGCACAGGCAGTATGAGAAAAATAAAGAGCTTTTTGAACATTAAAGCATGGAGACATGTCACAATAGAGAAACAAAATCAAAATCTGAACCTTGAATTGAGTCAAATAGTGGTTCTTTAATGTGCTTTTCTATTTTCCTTTCTGCAGTGATGGCCAGGAGGTTGCTGTGGTGTACTTCAGGAATGGATACATGCCTCAGAACTACAATTCTGAAAAGGTCTTCACTTTAAATTGTATTCTAGTTAGTTATGAATTATGACCATTATAAAACATCATATTTTATAAACTAAAATGTGTATTAAAGCTGTCAAATAGCTCCAATTAGGTAAAAAGTATATAATATTTCCCTTTGAATTGCAGTGGTGTAGAAGTATTAAGTGGCAATAAAGAAAACGATGAAGTACAATAATTGGGTTAATAAACGTGTTTACCTTACACCACTGGTCAAATGCAGCAACTAGTGCTAAAATGTGGGAACTGGTCAAAAGTTTGGGTTAAAATGTCAATGTTATGTATTAAGCCAGGTCTCAATACATTTGTTCCATCATTGGCCTGTTAAATATACTCAATGTTTCATAGTTCATACTAGAAGGTAAGAAAAACAGCATTTTTTGCTTTTACGATATCTTTTTGATTGTAGGATTGGGATGCTCGTCTGATGATGGAGCGCTCTCTGGCTGTGAAGTGTCCCGACATCAGCACTCACCTGGTCGGAACCAAGAAGGTCCAGCAGGTGCTCGCCAAACCTGGAGTTCTGGAGAAGTTCTTCCCCCACCAGCCCCAGGTAGTGGAGCAGATCAGAGCCACGTTCGCTGGGCTCTACACTCTGGACATGGTGAGAAAACATCACACGCTACTCAGTCCTTTCAGCTTTGTTATTGAGCAGTTTTATATACCACTCACTTCCTCTCTGCACTCCCATGGAACTCTGTGTCGTAGGGCTGGGGATTGTAGTTTAGGCCGTCAAAGGTTTTATGTCTGACAGCGAAGATTCTTATTTACATCTATCACAGTTGCAGATAGCTTCATAGCCTTTCAAGTGATCAGAACAAATCTAAATAATCAAAGGAACTACTAGAAGCTAGCACAATGATTTGCAACATTATAAAACACAACTATGCATTACTTGAACCCACCAACTGACATTATCTAGTGATCCAGTTTCCAAGTGTAAAATAAATTGCAACCTACAATTAAAAAAAGAATTGCAGCCCAAACAGGAGTTTGCTGAATTCTCCTCGGAATAGACAACGCAGCAGTGCCACCTAGTGGCCTACTCATCCCGCTACATCACATCAAGTATTTTCATGAAGTCACCAAAGAACTGTGTGCTGCTGATGCATAATTGACTTCCTTTGTTGCCCTTGTCGTCTTTAGGGACCCGAAGGTGACACAACGGTTGCCATGGCGCTGGCAGCACCAGACCGGTTTGTCCTGAAGCCTCAGAGAGAGGGAGGAGGTAAGATTCATATCGACCATTTCTGAAACCAGAGGACTTTGAATTGTCAGTATCTTCATTGTAGTGCTTTCCACAGTTACTACTGCTGAGAGCATACAGGCTAAACTCCACTTTGTCATGTCTGTTATACATCAACACGTGTCCCCTCTGTGGAAAGAGATTCTGGAAGTTTCAGGAACAAAGATTCTCTCTCTTTTTGTCCTGATCCATTTATATAAAAACCTGTCTGAAAATGACAGACTTTGGCCACTTTATGATGTCATAACGATGTTTTGTCTTGTGTAACCATTAGCCAATCACCAACCAAGGTAACCCCCCCCCCCCCTTATCACCTGAATCTCCTCCTACAGCACCATTGTGTTCTTTATAACCAAATATCGTGGGGAGGGGCTCCTTATTTTCATCTAAAGTAACAGACAGAGAATCAGCACTTTTGAAACAGGGCTGAAACAGAGGGGATTATGGGATGCTGCAATGATCTGTTTGGTGTTTGGAGCCAAACACTTCAGAGACATGTTTGTATATATCTGAGACCTATAATATATTGATGAAAAACAGTATGATCGGGGACCTTTAATATATTGTTTATTTCTAGGTAACAACTTCTATGGGTCAGAGATGTGCACGGTCCTGCAGGAAGTGAAGGACAGCACCGAGAGGACGGCTTACATCCTGATGGATAAGATTCACCCCGCCCCCGTCCAGAACGTCCTGCTGAGACGAGACGCTCCTCTCCAGATCAGCACCTGTCTCAGTGAGCTGGGAGTGTTCGGAACATACGTCAGGTGTGTAATCAATACTGATGACATCACTGTGTAACACTCGCTCTTATATTGGCTAGCGCCCCGACACAGTACTTGATACACACACAACACATCTCTTAAGCAGTTCACAACAGAGCCGGCCAGCTAACCAATCAGAGCAGACTGGGCTCTGGTTTCAGACAGAGGGTGAGAAAAATAAAGAGCTTTTTGAATATTAAAGCATGGAGACATGTCACCTGAAAATATGCATAAAATGCCCTGTTTAACTAAATGTCTTATTTTTTTTTAATTGAATGTCCAATCATTAATAGTGTAATTACACACTTTACTGTCAATAATACCAAGCATTTGGAGTATTACAGCTGGATTTAGTATTCTGTCTCACAAACAAGAACATAAGTTGTTGCCCACAGCCACTGATGACATCCCATTGTCTCTTTTCATATTCATATTTTCTTTAATGCAGCCAAACAGTGGTTTTGTCAGAATCATGCTTTGTATATCCTGTCTTCTGTCTTTGAGAAGACAACTCTTTGGTGTCAAACCAACAAAAAGTTGCTCTATTTGCTCTCTGCCTACATCTGGGTGTTTGAGCTCATGTGATACCAAATCAAAAAAGCTAATCGGGGCATGATACAAAATATCCTTCTTTCAATACAACTTGTTAACATGCTACTTTTTCTGTATCTCCATAATTACATCTTACACTCTCATTATTCATTTCCCCTTCAAAATACCCCTGTGAACATCTTGCCCTGCATTCTCCTGTCCAGTTCTTTAGTTTGGTCACGCTTCATTTATCCTGCCACATTAATGCATATCGTTTCAACCATTTGTTTGAAGAGAAACAAATACAAAGGAAAGTCTACCTGTTTTTGTACTTTCAGAACAAGTTTTAAGTTTGAACTATGACTTAATATCGCACAAATGCACTGCGAGCAGATAGCGCTGTAGAACTGTACGTATGTTTAATATCAGTCTTTTAATCTAGGGTAACATTCATTATTTGATCTTTTAGGCTTCTAATTCTTTACCTCTCATTGTCCCCTAACAGAAAAGGTGAAGACATGGTGCTGAACGAGTGTGTGGGCCACCTGCTGAGGACCAAGAGTTCAGAGCACTCTGACGGGGGCGTGGCAGCGGGGGTGGCGGTGCTGGACAACCCCCTCCTCTTCTGAGAGTCTACACCCCTCCCTGCTGCTTCAGACAAAAAGAAATGCTCAAATGGACAAAGATCAAGTCAAGGACGCACATTTGATTCACACTTTCACATGAACTAGCCTTTCCTCTCGGTGTGGGTGAAGAATGAACGTGCTGCTGTAAGAGGGGGTCCGTGAGATTTGGCTGGAGTAAAAATGTGAGCGGTTCCAGAAGAAGTTTATAAGGACCACGTTTTTATCCGTTTTTGATATCATGATTTCTTTTAACGTAAAGTGCTGCTATCAAAAACACACTAGATTAAGCGACCTCGAGTCAGAGAAAAGCGCTATATAAATACAATTTATTATATTATTACGAAAGGTTTCTCTAATGTCCTTGGGTCAAACAACGGCTTTAATAGTATATCATATTATTGTCCTCTTTCATGGAGTTGAATCTTCAAACCCACATCAGTACTGTCATTTTCAGTTTTTTCCAGAATTTGAACCCATTAAATGCACACTTGTATACATACTGCCACTGTTGTTTTAAAACATTTTTTAAAAGACACACACTTAATTATTGTTAATACTACATTTTTAATCAGTCTGGAAGCCCTATATTTATAAAGTATGCACAATTCTTGTGTACATTTTATTTGACCCATCCTGCATTTGGGTCCGCCCTTCATTGCTCTCGTGTGACAGAAGGATCCAACCAACATCATGGCCCGCGCAGGCAGGTCATTTTCAAGTAGAAATCGGTGCACTTTCCTCGGCCTGTTGCTAATAATGAATTCCTTACCTGATTGGATTAAAGACTTTCTTCATACTCTCCACCCTGCTAGCTCCCCCGCGGCCTGCTCAAGCTCCTGTCCGACTTCCGGCCACTAGTTCAGTCCTTGGATCCCGCCTAGCCTTTGGAGGGACAGACGGGGACGCAGGGCCGGGCCACCAGCCCCAGCAGCCATGCTTTCAGCCCCTGCTGTCCTGTTGGTGGTCCGGCTGACTCCAGCTCCTGTCCCGTCGGCCCTTAATATCAGAAATAATGAAATAGAACAGAATGTCGAAAAATATGCAAAAACCGCCATCATTTAGTATGTCAAAAAAAGCAGTATAGAAGACTGTCGAATTTTGCAGAAAAACGAAGTAGTATAGTAGCTCAAAAATATTAAATAAAACAATTTCTGTCAAATATGCAACAAAACGGCATAGTATTGTATGGTGGAAATGTAAAAAAGGCATACTATGCTGTTTATCTGATATGTTTCTATACTACAGTGTTTGTTTGCATTGTTTTGAAATACTAGTAGTACTATACTAAAGTCAAAAAATCTAAATAGTATTGCTAATCAAAAAAACATCAAACTATGTCTAAATGTGAGAGAAAATGACCATGGTATATTACAAATACAACAAAGTATATTATTTTAAATAAAAAAATGATAGGATTGTATGTTGGAAAGAAAGGCGTAGAATAGTATGTTCAAACAGGTATGTTATATTATTACAAAAAAAAGCATAGAATAGTATGTTTAAAAAAAGACATGGTAGAAAAAATGAATACACACACACTGTGCTGCTGTTTAAGGATTGTATTTGTAGAAAGTTCAAGGTAACCAGAACATCAGCAAGTGCACTTCAGTTATCACATTCACAGTTTTGTGGCACAAATGAACTGGTGCAGGAGACTTTCCAGATTGTTCTCTGTTCGCTATTTCACGACTCACCAAGAGACAGGTGTGACTAAAGATTTTTGACTAGCTGTGTTCATTCACAGCAGCGTCCGGGCATGAGATGAATATGAATACACACACACACACACACACCAACAACCTACTGGTTATTTGTAATGTGTATTTTCCAGGAAAGATAAAACATATTTGTCATCCAGACAGTGGAAAAAAAAAATGAAGGGTGTGATTGGGTTTTTGGCAAGTCACATCTTCTTGCAAATGATGGCTTTACTCACACACTTTTACAAAGGGTAACATTGAAATGAAAACCCTGTAATCCATGGCTGCCTTCATAGCAAACAGAAACATGGATTGTGGCATGAGCAAAAAGGCTTCTATGCCAGAGGAAGTCACACAGACACAGCGTTGACCACATTACAGATATTGCACTTTTCAAAGCATTGCTACAGGCAGAGAGAAAAGCAATGTTTCCAGAGAGGACATGCCTGGGCCAGTCTGACTAAATACATTTGCAAGATAAACTAATTAAAAAGTTTCCTGTCATTTAACTGTTTGTGACATGAGATGACTTGACCTGGCACGTTTTCTGGGAAAAGGAAGTCAATCATTTGGCTTAATCATAGGGTTGACAGAAACTCAATTCTGAGATCGTTATTCCCTCAGCCAATGAGATTATGTCTTGCTTGTCTGCTTGTCTGTTTGTCTTTCTGGAGGTTGTCGGAAAACATTTGAATAAATGAACAGCCTCATTTTGTAGGTACGAATAGTGCCAAATGATATAATCCTTTAGAAACCTGAAAAGAAATGTTTCAGTCATTGTACAGAGATGTGAAAATAATAATTTATTTATTTACTTTAAACACTTAAAGTTTACTTTCTTCAAAAATATATATATTTTTAAATTGCACTAGATTCAACTTTTCCAATTAAAATCATGTCATTGGAGATGATTTAACTCCTAGTTTCAACATAGATTATTATGGGCTTCCACCCATTTCACATTACCCTCCATAACATCGTATCACTTTAAAAAAGACTCGTAAAGATATCGTTTTTAAAATTCCATGCATTTTTCTGTCTTGTCAAAACATGGCTATACGCAGTAGAACACCCCATGAGCTGACTTTGAAGTTTAACATCCCCTCTAGACTTTGAAGGCTGTATGAAAGGAACAACTTACTGATATTTCCCCCAGCAGAGGCCATTAATAAACATTTTCCTACACGAGCCTCTGTGTTCGCCCTAATGTCAATTCTGTCACTCTGCTGAACAAGGCCCTGCAGTGGAGAGGCCTGTCGGAGGAGTAACCCCTGGACGAGCTAACAAGGGGAGCTCTGAGAGGGGCCGCGCTGAGCCGGACCCTGCCCCACCACAGCTATGTGGCTGTTTGTTCAGCCTACCTGCCCACAGCTAAATACAGACAGTGATAGAGGAGGGATGGCAACACACTTTCACTGGAATCAAGGAGAGACGGCTGCTTTTCTGGAAATGACTCAGATGTACTTTCAAGATAGAGTCCCCGATTGTGTGTCACAGATAGAACAAGCCCAGGCAATGGCTTTAGAGTTAGAGTTGAACCTCACAGAGGAGAACAACATGACGCTTTTTGAATTGTCTGGAAGATTTCTGTTTGGCATGTGCAAAAGCAAAAACAGCAACTTTCCATGCAGAAAGGAATCCCTTCTTTCATATAAAATACATTTATCACAGGCCCTTACTGACACACACAATAAATACTTTTATGCACCAACATACATAAATAAAAGCCATCCAGAGATATTCTACTGCTTTGAATGAATCTGCTGTGTTCAGGTTCACAGTCAGCACATTCACCCGACCAGAGGAGAACCTGCTCCTCCCAAAGTGTCACTTGGATTTATGGCTCATTGGTTCTCAGAAGAATAAGCCACGGGATATATTTGACTGTAGTGGGCACCGGGGGTGCTGGTGGGGCAGAATTCTCAAATCTCACATCCACAGGTGAAGGAAGACAAAGATAAAAGTCAAAGAAACGTTTGTTCAATTTGACGAAGCAATTTCTAGGCGAGAAACGCAAGGAACTGAATACAAAATAAATATTGGGTTCTAAATTAACCTAAAGCCCCCCCCCCCCCCCCCCATCAGAAAGGACTTGTTTGTGTCACCTGGAATGGTTCTAACACATTTTGTGAAGAACCAGTCTGCTCTTTGTTCTGCTTGACGTCAGAACAATACACTCTTTCACACTAGAAAGCAAACTGACAAGTGTTACAGATGCTTGGCAAACGGTCTTTTGGTTCCATTTGCTTTTGGTTCCAAACCAGAGTCTTTCTCCACAGCTGTTTCTTTCCGAGGGTCTTAGTGACAAGCCAGAGCGTGTGATGGACTACTCTGGGCAGAGATGGCAACCGAAACGTGCAACACGATCATCACAAACTGAAACTCTGAAGGGAAAACCATCAGACTGATGTCAACGCTCTCATCCCCCCCCCCCTCATCAAGTCCTGAGGTACTCTGGTGTGGAGTAGTTGAAGAGCAGGAAGTCCATGCGATACAGGTTGAACAGTTTCTTCTGGTAGAAAGGGCTGATGTGCTTGAAGTAGCGTGCGGCCATGTTGCCATCAGTCCTGGTGCTTTTCCCAGACGTGGGAAACTGAAGCGTTCCCTCCACCCCGGCCAGGCTGAGCACGGCCTGGGCGTCCGGCTCCAGGGTCTCGTACTTCCCCACCACGTCGTAGTGGATGAGGCAGGGGTGGCAGAGCGAGTGCACCCGCTCCCAGTGCTCGTTAAAGGGTTCCTCCCGCTGGGTCCGGGGGTCCACGAGGTACTGGACAAACTCGTGGAATAAAACGTTATTTCCTTTCTGAATCTCCTCTGGATCCGGTTCGGGCCGGTGCCGGCGGATGATCTTGGTTCCGTAGCGCCGGTGGAACGCTGTGTTGTAGCTCCGGGTGAACTTGTTGCGGTACGCCGACACCAGGCGCTCGAAGGGGTCCCGCACGAAGATGAACTTGAGGTAGCTGCGGAGGCGTCGGTTGATCTCGGGGACGGAGAACTCGGAGAGCGTGCGGAGGTTCCCCGCCACATGGGCCTCGTTGGCAGGGATGGAGAGGGGGTCCGTGTAGCGGCCGTCACTGGTGAGGACCATCAGGACTCGCTTCCAATTGGTGCAGGCTACCTGGGGGGGGACAACAAGAGAGGGAGATTATCTTTCAAGCCAAAATACACACTAGTGAAATGATTTAGCTATTAGCATAAATGTTTTCATTATATTATCATCACACTTACAATTATAACACAAATCAAAGTACAGAAACAATAAATATAAATACCAGTACATTTATCAGTAAGACTATAATATTACAAGTCATTTAAAAAAAAAAATAACAGTCAATTTAATGGTGGCAAGACTGGTAGCTAAATATACATTTTTTGCACCATGGGAATAATAAAGAAAGTCTGTGACACGTCTTTAAATAATAAATAACACCTTTTTCTATGATTTCTAAGCAGATCTTTATCTGTGGTGAACATCAGAGTGAATATCCCCCCTCCAAAAATGTGAAAAATGACGATGGATTCTAAAATGTGTCGGAGCTTTTTGAGGCTAAACAGCAATAATGAACTTCCATTAGTTTTTTGAACATCTGCATGCAGCGGTGTCTTTCATCTCATGTCTTTGCCTCACATCTCCCCGTCCCCCCTTCATCTCTCCCCCTCTGTCTAGAATCCCAGATGCACTTCTTAATCTCACTGTCACCAACCTTGGGTACGTAGCAGTAGATGAGGCTGTGTTTATCATCCACAATGAGGTGTTTGAGGTCCTCGGGGGAAAGCACTTGGCGCTTCCTGGTGTGGCTCAGACACGCCTGCTCCAGCAGCTCCCTGCGACCTTGGAGCGACCTCTGAGCCGCCAGGAGCTCCAGCTGCTTGTGATGTGATCAGGGCGAGGAATGGGTCCAAATGGGGAATTGAGGGAGGAGGGGGAAGCAGAAATAGAAAAACCTTTTCAATTTGTTGCAGAAATGTTGTGCGCCCAAAGAAACTCATACGACTAGACATCAGGGTGCTTATCACAACACACATTCAGGGGATTTCTTTTCCAAGCAGATTTCTCCTTTGTCTTAAAATATCTTACAAAAAAAGCATTTGTAGCTTTTCTGACCGATTTTTAGATCTGCTCGGCTCTTCAGGGAAATACCTGGCTGTTTAACTGCTCAATGTTCACCAGCTATAACTAATGGCGCATTTCCACTACACGGCCTCGCTCGGCCCCGCTCGGTATGGCTAGGCCTCGTTAGGACTGGCTCACTTTATGGCGCATTTCCATTACAGTTTAGGAACTGGGGCAGTATCTATAGTAACGCAGTGTAGGCGGAGCCGTGACGTGATCTTCAGAGATCCCCAGAAAAACAACATCAGCCGTTAGCTGTTAGCACTCAGAGCTCACAGCTCCTCATATATGTTCAGAAACTAGACAAAAGTTAAACAAGTACAAACCACAGACTGCCTGTGTCATGGTGAATACAGTCGCTGCTTTATTTATGTCTGTATAGGCCGTTGTTGTGAGTGTGGACGGTCGGAGCATATACTGCGTTAGCTTAGCCAATCTCCATTTAGAAAACACGCATTTTAAAAGGTTTTTCCCCTGCCGTCTGTCTGCAGACTTGTCAAAGCATTAATTCATGGTTTTTACTAACCGGTATCAGTATGTTGTTACTTCGGCATCATTTTGAAACGTGTATTACAATTAAATCACGGTCAAATATGTCCATCTTGTTGTAGTTGTAGCCCCCTTGCCAGCGATGCTCTCTCTAGTTTAGCATACTCAGCCCGACTCAGCCTCGTTGTCTCTGGCCCTAGACCCACGATTTTATGAGGCCAGAAAAACTGTGAATTAGGACCCGCCGGCCGGTACTAGGCCAAGTGGAAACGCAACCAAAGACGGGCCGCTGACGTCACAGCCCTCTTAAACCGTGCTCCGCGCTGTAGTGGAAACGCACCATATGTCTGCTGCTTGTTGGCAGGTAGTGTACAGTGGGGTTCAAAGCTAAAGAGGGGTTACTTTAAGAATGTATGCTGTCTCAATTACTATTTTTTTTTCTAATCGTTTATTTGAACCAGGACAGTGCACATCGATGAACACTTTAAAACAAAATAATGCTTACAAGCGTAAATAAGCCGGATTTTAGCTTTGAGCTAATTTCCATCCGTAGTCCCGTCACATACAACATATAAGAACATGACATTTATATACATAGCAAAAATAAATACATGATATGTAGAAAGAGCATGAGCAGCATAAGCATTTACCACAAGGCAGTACAATGTAGCAGCTACGATATATAAAGTGCAGGAGAAGATAAAAGTGCTACATAAAGTGCAAGAGGAGATGCCCCTGTATTAAAGTGCATTTAGCGGTGATTGCACGTCTGTTTGTTGCTCAACCATTCTTTGAGTTGACCTTTAAAACTATTGAGAGTGGGACAATCCCGTATCTCAGTTGGGAGGCTATTCCACAATGAGCCGCCTTTAATGGAAAGGACATTTTGTCCAAAAGTTGTCCGTCTATGGTGGACTTCACAGTCTCCTCTGGTTTCTGACCTAGTGCAGCGTCCAGTGTGTTTTTTGTGGATGAATTCCCCTAAGAGGGGGGGGGGGGGGGGGGGGGGGGGGGGGGGGTTGGGGGGGGGGGGGGGGGGGGGGGGGGGGGGGGGGGCAGTCCATGTAAACATTTATAAATAAAACACATACTTTTAAAAGACTTAAAATGGTCAAAACTCAAGAAATGGTGTTTCTCAAGGATGGTACAGTGGTGGTATGAACACCTTGATAGCTCTCTTGGCTGTTCTATGGGTTTCAGGTTTGTGGCACAAGCAAACGACCAGTTTGTCAAACAGTATTCAATGTGGGATAGAATCATACAGTGGAGGTATGACTTTGCAGCACTGACAGTTAAGAAAGGTCTAATTTGTTTAACATTTTGCAAGATGAATTTAATAGTATTGGATACTTTCTTGATATGTTTCTTAAAAGTCAAGTTCAAGTCCATTTACATGTTAAAAGACGTAATCACTAACCCAATCTGTCCATCACAATTTAAAAGTAATGTGACCTGATTACTTTCCTTTACTTTTGGATGTCCTCAAAATGAAATGTAATGTAAATAAATACAAGAGAAAATAAACGTTACTTACTTTAACTCAAATCAAACACAGTATTTTTGTTTAAGCAGGTGAAAAAGTAAAGGGGGCTTCTTAATCTGGCAGAGCTGGCGTTATAGCTGCCTGTTTGCCCCCCCCCCCCCCCTGTAACTTTGGCCAGATGGTAATAATCTCACAAAAATCACACTGGTGCTACTTATTCCCCTCAAGTGTCCACCTACTGCATTTAAATATATAAATACAAGATAAAAAAAAAATATATATTTTAAATAACGAAGAATGAAAGTAGCCTAAATTAAAACCAAAAAGAAAATAAGGCAGTACCTTTAGCTGTATTATATTGATTTTAATTGTATCACTTTTTTATTTTCAATTGAAATGTATTGTAACATTGTAATCCTATTTATTCCTTTTTTCTTTTTAAATGTACCAGTAATCTGATAGTTAAAAAATGTTTTATGTAACTTTAAGGGAATACAGAAATGTAGAGACATTTCAGTCTTGACTTAAAGGTGGGGTAGGTAAGTTTGAGAAACCGGCTCGAGATCGCTAGAATTAAAAAATACACAACCAGAGAAAATCTGCCACTTCCTTACAGAGCCCCTCCTCCAACACACGAACGCGCACATGACCAATGAGGGCACGAGATAAGTCTGTGCACAGATGGAAGGCTGACAGGCAGGTAGGCCATCCAATTGGTCGTGCTTTTTACAGTATTACGGCTTCCACAGATGACATTTTTGTATGGATTTTTTGTCAAAGCACTAAAGATATTCATTGCTATCGGGATGTTAAGAGCATTCCATGGAATATAACAAAAAGTGTATCTCGAGCCGGTTTCTCAAACTTACCTACCCTACCTTTAAGTGGTAGTCTATTATTCAACCTTTAAAAAGCAGTTTTGGCAAACATATTATTTCTGTGTGTGTTAGGGCTGTCCCGAATACCATTTTTCGGGCTCCGGATATTCGGTGCGCAGGGGGGTGCGCGTAGTAATCAGCAGCGAACCGCTTCAACACGTGTATTTCGGTTTATTCACGGCATTCATTTTGTTATTCTACAGTATTGTTGTTTTATAGTTATTTGTTCATGTATATAACCCAATTTGTGTTCTTTGAAATTGAAAAGGATATTGCATTGTGTTTGTTACTTTCGTTGCAGTTGTATATGTCTTAAGTGTCATTTGGCTTGGCTTCCTATTTTGTATGGACATGCTTTTATTTTGAAGGAGAGTTAGCGCTGTTGACAGGAAGTTGTTGTTGCTATGGAAACAACGTGACGGAGATTAACAGAGAAAGGTCATATCTACATATAAAGACGGAGAAATTAAACAATAACGTTTATGGTTAAGTGTTAGCACCCCCCGAAGAGGCACAAGCTCCTATGTTGATATTGGAGATTTCAAATAAATTCAAATAAAAATGAATATCCGAATAACGAAATTGAAACCCGAATAGTACTCCAACGAACCAATATTTGGATATTCGGGTACAGCCCTAGTGTGTGTGTGTGTGTGTGTGTGTGTGTGTGTGTGTGTGTGTGTGTGTGTGTGTGAGACTGTGTTCTCACCTGGTCTCCATTGTAGAGAGTCTGCAGTGGACTCCTCCTACTTTTCCCTGGTCTGCTGTCTGTGTTCACACCAGGTTCTACAAAGAAAGACAACAATACAAATCCCAATTCAACAGAATAGTTCAACTATTTCCATCAGTCCTGTTCATTTCTTACTTTTCCACAGGCTTGACGTAATGAATTGGATACAGTCATTCTGTGTCATGTGTTATCAGATGCTTTGTCACCACTGATTCAAGTCTGAACACTCTACTTTAGAAGAAACTGTTCTTTCTTTACAATGTGTCATATTTTAGTACAGAGGTTCAAATTACACTTTAAAGATGTCCGTATCATTCAGAGCCAAGTTTCCAACCCTTTGTCATGACGTGATCCTCCCTCCTTTCATTTATAGATGCCATAGGAACAGTGTGTTCTCTTTGTAACTCTTACATAAGTTACATGTCTCCCCTTCAGCTCTCTCTTTGTTCTAACATATTGCAAGCCTTTAGGACATCTAATAGCACAGCAAATTCACTTTGGGGCACAGTCAAGACAAAAAAAGTTTTGGAGAACATTCAAAACCAATTATTTTAAACATAACAAAACCAAAATATGATAAAAATGCATGGCTGATTAGCTGTGGGTTCGAACTACGCCCGGCTGCACATCCTGCATCTGTAATGATGGAGCAGGCGGCTCAGCTCGTGTGAGGACGTTTTCAATATCTGTCCGGAGACCTTAGGCGCTTTCACACCGCAGTACTTTTCCCACTTTAGTTCCGATATAGTTCCGAAATGTCGCGTTCACACCAAAAAAATCCGGAACTAAAATCAGAACCTTTTTTACCCCCTTTTTCGTGGGAGAAAAAGGTTCCTATGTCTGATTGGCTGAGCGGATTGCAAACCACGCCCCGTAAAACTCCCAAAAAGTTTTGTGAAGCCGCCATTTTAATATCCTCGCATTAGCATTATTAGCATTAGCATTAGCCCAGCACACAAACGCAGAGAGACTAACTTATGGCAACACAAAAGAAAACATGGGAGCGGTGGAGATGAGGAGGTGTCGGCGTTCTGGCGATTTACTCGGAAGGCTTCAGTAGAAGCTGCTGGGAGTCCCAGCAGCTTCTACTGAAGCCAGTCCCCAACTCCGGGGACTTCCGGCCGGGGACTTCGGGTGGCAGTATACGCCGTGAAGTTGTTTGCGGCCTGCCAGTAAACTCAAAGCAGAAGAAGAAGTGACGTCAGCGGCTTCATTTGCCTAATCCTCCCCCAGGGACTTATTCCGTTGTGAACGCGATCTGTACTTAGTTCATGAGAACTAAAGAGTTCTCATGAACTAAGTCCTCATGAACCTTTGTGGGAAAAGTACTGCGGTGTGAAAGCGCCTCTTGTTATCATCTCTCCTCCCTCCTCTAGCCTCTATAAACACATATGTCCTCTCCTTCCATACCCCTCCCCCCTTCCTCCTTCCTCCTTCTCCTCCCCCTCTCCTGTTCCCACCCAGGGCCTGATGCCAGTCAGTGTTTGGGTTACAAAAAAAGTTATTTGTTTTACACATGTGGCTCAACAATCTATAGGGTATACCAGGCTGGAATGAGATGAAGATGGAGGTGGAGAGAGATGGGAATGTGCTTTATGGAATGTTAGCAGGAGGGAATCTACTTGAAAGAAGACGCATGGAATGACAGGGAGAAAATGGCATACCATCATATGGAAAGCATATCAGTCAGCAAAAAAAGGGCAAGTTAGAGGGCTATGCTATAGAAACCAGAAGGAGACACAACTTATTCTCTCAAACTTTTTTTGAGACACTATGGTTAACAAAAGGATTCAAATCAGACTGTAAATCCTATCTACTTCCTGATATTTTGAGGAAGTGAAAAAGGAGAACAGCTTGGTGACTGAGCACATGGAGTGTAGTAGAAGTGGATCTGAGCTAGACGGTGAGACTGAAAGTGTCGTGATGCAGCCGCTCTGCCTCAGCTCACATGAATCCTCCACTTCCTCTGGGTGAATCTGTGCCACATCATCCAATCACGCAGAGATAGACATGTAAGTCCTGCTGGACCATGTTGAAAGCTCTACTGGATACACATGAAACCCATATCTTAGGTTGTGTATGGAAGCAGGGCACGCAAACAGTAACATGTCATGCTATGTTGGCACAGTATTAGGATGTAAAAACCCTAATCATGCGTAGAAATCAGACACTCTTCAGTTCCAGGTGGAGCTGAATATAGAGGGAGAGGTGTCTGAGCTCTCAGTCAACAGCCCTGCAGTGCACATTAGAAGCAGCTACAGTAAGCTTTCCACAAACTCAGGAAGCTTCCTCTGAAAGCTGGAAAGTAGGTCACTTGTGGAAGCTCTGCTCATATTAATGGTTTATTGTCTGCTTTGGGAGAGGAAACATTCATTATCTCTCAAGGGAAAGATGTTAGAGTGGCAAAGTATTTACAGAGATAGTTTGTCAACTAAAAGTGCCTCAATATGATAACTTTTACAAGTTGTTCAGAAAGGACTGTAGTTTAATGCAAAACTCAGTACACATGTTATGTGTATGCGCTCTAAAAACAGGTGAAAAGGTAAAAGAGGTGCTGCACAGGCAGTATTAGACAAATAAAAAACCTTTTTGAACATTAAAGCATGTAAACACAAAATACAAATATGAACCCTGAACCATAATGTGTGCTAGGGCTGCTCGATTATGGCAAAAATCATAATCTCGATTATTTGGGTCAATAATTGATATCACGATTATTAAAAACGATTATCCATTTACTTTGAAAACATCCATTTATTGAAGAAAAAAAAGTGAACAGTATGTTTTTAACAGTTGCTTACCCTGAACTTTAAGTATAATTCAACTAAAAAAAAAAGAAAAAAAAAATTGTTTTATTTCGATTATGTTGTTTTCATAATCGTTACAAGCCAAATCGTAATTGCGATTTAAATACGATTAATTGAGCAGCCCTAATGTGTGCCCTTTAAAAACACAGACACTGTTTAAGCTATGCTAACGGTATGACTCTAGAGAGGACAGATTGAAACATCTCATCAGCTGATGGATTGTCAGAAATTCATGGTCCCCAGTGGGCACAGCCTACTGACCCTAATGATCCCATGAGCTTTCATATAAAACCATCATCAGGTCATCATTTGACTCCGCCCAACGCTTTTGGCAAGACTCAGCTGTGCTTTGTGTAAGGTGCTACTTTACCAATGTTTGCATCCTCCAAGATGGTGACCGTGGTAAAAATGATACCAGCTAAACATCGCAATTAAGCATCGTCACTGTGATCTTAGCATGCTGATGTTAGCATTTAGCTCAAAGCATCACTGGGCATAAGTACAGCCTCACAGAGCCGTTAGCATAACTTAATTAGGGATACAACCTCTCAATGTGTGAGTGTTTACATGGGTGTGAATGTGAAAGCATGTTGAGGGGAGCATGCTGTCACACACGTCCATGGGCTCTGGTTTAAAGAAATACTTTAAATAGATCTAAAGTCATTCTACTGATACCTCACTTGAATTCTAACAGCCTATACGAGGTATCTGTGTTGTACATAGGGTTGCAAAGGGGCGGAACATTTCTGGTACATTTCCATGGGAAGTTAAGCTGGGGAATTTGGGAAATATTCCATATTGGAAACCTTCCATGGGAATAATGGGAACTAACTGGGAATTGAGGGTGATGTAATCTAATTGTGTCATATCCAAGCATAAATATAAACATTTTGTTTTGTCATAAGAAAACATCCATGCAAAATGATACAATTAAAAAACATGACATTTCAACAGATTTATTTGTAAGTAGAACAGAACGAGTTTTAATTATTTTATTGAACAATCATTTGTTTCATTGAAGAACAAAAACATGAATGTTGAGTTAAATATTACTCATCCCCCCAACCCCACTCATTCAAAAATGAACAAAAATGCACCCCCCATCCAAAAATCCCCACAAGAAATCATGTGTGCATGTGATGGAGGAATGCACAGTGCCTGTAGGGCAGGGGTGGGGAACCTTTTTCCTCTCAAGGGCCATTTCAATTGTTTCAACATCCTCCGAGGGCCGTACAAATGATTGACCTCTGCTTAAAAATACTAAAATCACAGCCCATTCATTTCACATTTCTTTCATGCTGTGCAAAGAAAAAGCAACCTCTTAATCCAGATATCTTACTCCTGCATGCATTCACGTGCACGGTGTGGCATGACCACCAAAACAGAAAGATATGGACACAAGATGTGTGCAAATGTATTTAGTTTCCTATCCATGTGAACATGATTGAAGTGGGGGGAACCTAACCTCCTCTAGGGGGGTCCGGGGGGCATGCTCCTCCGGGAAGATGTTTTTAAATGTTGAAGTTAAAAGCATCAATCTGGTGCACTTTGAGAGCACCATTAAGAGATCTATGGATACACCTCTCAACATCCATATGAAACAGAACTGTAAGCAGATTTATTTTTCTTTATGGATATTTTACAAATCACTCTCCTTTCAAACTGTATTCTTGTTTATTAATAACAACTTTTTTTTTACTGTCATATAGTATTTTATACCTGTTTACTTTATTCTCTTATTTTTTTATAACTATAATGATCATATAAAGATGTGCCTTTACCTCACTGGTTGTAGAAAAAGCTTCTTATATTCGTTAGCATAGCTAGCTAACCAGATGCTAATAATAACAAAGTTATTGACTGTATGATCAGTATGACAGATGAACAGATCGCCACTGGGCTTTCAACTAAAGACACAGCAAAAACTAGCATGTGTACGGCTCCTTTTGGGTACTGCAATTTCTGAAGTGCCGGAGCAGCGTTCTGGTGCTCTCCGTCAGAACTACACCCCTGTCAGACGAGACATATACAACGTGATGACATGTTAGGCTCGTGTTGTGTTCAAGGACCCTGACCTTGGCCAGGAAAAACAGGCACTCTCTTGTTTAATTATTTTGCGGTCTAGATTTCTGTAATTTTTTGCATGTGTTTATAAATTACCTCGAGGGCCTTATCAAATGGTCTCGCGGGCCCGGGGACCGGAGGTTCCCCACCCCTGCTGTAGGGGGTGTGGTCTCAATAGCCATGCA